GGGGGGGGGGGGGGGGGGGGGGGGGGGAGAGGTGCTTTCATCATGGGGGGGAGGGGTGTGTGCAAACAAGCAAGGGCACACTCTTGAGCCCGGCGAACGAGCTATTGAAAAAAAAGTCAGAGAGCACGCCATACGCTGTTTGTGCAGTTGATGCCCCAAAAGGGGCGCGGGTAGCAGTCTCTCAAGTGCTGCTGAATGCCACAATTGTGTGTGTGTGTGTGTGTGTGTGTGTGTGTGTGTGTGTTTTTGTCTAGTTGACACGCGTTTTGTCCGCTCCAACGTGAGCAGAATATAAAGTCTTCTCTTGGCCCAAAGGACGTAAGAATGATCAGCGTGAATGATCGAGTGTGGAAAGTGCTGAGTAGAATGGTCAGCGTCTCATGTTTTCGTTTACATCGTGTCCTCGCCCCGCCCCACGCCCTCTCTCTCTCTCTGCAATGCCGCTGCCGCCGCCTCGACGCCAAATTAACCTTAACCGGGACCATTTTTTTCCTTCCCATCTCGCACGCGGCCGTTTTTGTTGCGCCGGCCCCGCAGCACGTACAGCGTGTGCAAGGTGAACGGCGTTACCCCGGAGGTGACCTTCAAGCGCATCATCGAGCAGTACAAGCAGCTGGCGGGGGCCGGCGGGGGTGGCCTCAGCGGCGGCGTGGGCACACCCCGCCTGAGCGTGGTGAAGGACATTCTTCTCAGGAGAGGGCACGACGAGGGGGCGGGGGGGGGTGAGGGTGGGGGAGAGCCCCTGCAGGAGGAAAGGGGTGACATCATCAAGTTTTACAATATGGTGGGGGAATGGAGTGGATGTAAGAGCAGCGAGACTGTTGTTGCTGTCTGTCGTCTGTACACTCTCGGTGATGTGCGAGTCTTGTTTTGCCCGCTGCCCGCTTGTCGAGTGGCTGGCGCGGGCACTAAATAGGAAACGTTTTCATACATGAATCGGCGTTTGTCAGTGATGGATGGGTTTAACGCCATGACAATTCTTTTTTGAGAGTATACCGGGGCTCTTCGATGGGTGACGGGACGATGACCCGAGGCGGTTCTTGGGTGGAGTTCTGTTCGACCGCTGAAATGGTTTGACGAACGATGCGCGAGCGAAGGTTGACCGGACAACGTCCCTTGTCCCTGCCTCCCTCCCTCCCTCGCGCCGCTACGGCGGGGACGCGACGGATGCGTGCGCGTGGCTCGACACCTATTTTACATGTGTTGGCACACACCGTGCAACGACAACGAAAAGGTGTACATTCCGGCGATGAAACAGTTCGTGCTGGAGTTCAAGAACCTTGCCGGGCAGCAGCAGGGCGTGGCCAGCATCACGACCGCACGTGAGAAACAGACGGGACACGTGGAAGAATCAGCATTTTTTCGGTACACGCATGCGCGCGGGGATGGATGCTTGTTGACGAATAAATCGTCCACCACTCGTTCGGTGTTGTTGTCTGTATGCCTGTATGAGATGCCGTGCGGGTCGCGACCCCAGCAAGGCGAGGGCGCACTTGTATTTTGCCGTTCTGCAGCTCTTGCTCTTGACAACATGTGCCCAAAGGTGAGCGATGTTGTTTGCCAGTATTTTATCTCGTTCAAGGTGTTTCTCTCGCGTTTTTGTGCATTTAGGACGTTGAACACGTTTGGTGGGATAAGGGACAAGGGTTGGGTGTGCTTGCTCGATATACACAACCTGAGCATGACAGTCGTTGCAGTTTCGACCCTTGCGCGCGGAGACGCTAACCATAGGTTGGTTCACCGCACGGCACGCCCCTGACGCGGTTTCCCCTCCCCGTCCCCCCCCCGATACCTCCGGGCCTTCCCAGAAGATGCCGCTCGAGTAGCCAAGCGCGTGCAGTCCAAAAGGTCTGGTGAAGGCATTACGCCGCCGCCGCCTCGTGCACCGGCCAATGCCGCGGCGGATGCCGCGGTTGCACTTCCAACCGGCAGCGAGGGAGAAGGCGGCGACGGGGGAGAAGAAGAAAACGATGACCGACATGATGCGGCTCCCGCCGCCGCCGCCGCCGCCCAACGCCGAAGCCAACGCCGCCGCTTGACGCATTCGAGCAGTACCACCGGCGGTGGCAGCGGCGGCGCGTCGTCCACAAATGACAACGTCGAGGAGGAAGAGAAGGGCGACAATCGTCACTTGAAGGACCGTGACGACAACGGCGTTAACGACGGCGACGGCGGCGGTGAGAGGAAAGGCCGACGCGGAGGAGGAGGAGGAGGAGGAGGAGGAGAGGGAGGGAAGCAACCGGAGGAAGAACAAGCAGCGGGAGGAGAAAGAGGGGGGGGAGCGGGTGGGAACGGCAGCGAGGACGACGTCGTCGCCGCCGGGGCGGCCCTCTCGGCCCTCAGCACGGTCCCCCACCCTCTCAAGCCGCTCGTGTCCCACCTCCCGAGCCAGAAGATGACGGACTCCAAGCGCGTCCAGGAAAACGTTAACGTCTTCCTCACCACCGTGTCTTCTCCCGCCAGGAGACCGTCCCCGCCCCCCACCGCCGGTGCCGCGGCTTCGCCCTCGCCCTCGCGCGCCGCCGACGGCGGCGGGGTGCGAGGGCGCGGGGATCGCGGCGGCGGCAGGAGAGCGTCTGCTGGCGGCGGAGGGGCAAAGGGGGGCGGCGGTNGGCGTTTATGCCTTCGGCGAAAGCGCATCCAAGGTACGTCGTTGTTGTTGTCTTGAGATGAGATCGTTCCGGTCTCTGCTTCGGGACACCTTCAAATTTCCGTACTGGTCCAACTGGCTCGGGCGCCTTCCGTGGTCACGCGCCAACTATCCAACGGGTACATGCACACCATGTCTTGAAGGTGTTTTGCCAGCCGATGGTAGTATGTTCCATAGCGTGGCTGAATAGACGTTGCGCTACGTGCCGCTGGTTGGCGAAGGTACCGCAGGGGTGTGAATTGAAGACATCATTGGCACGGTCGGTCCACATGTCGACGATGTCGTTCCATTTTGGTGTAAGCATTTTGCGGTAAGGCTGTTGTATACAACCAGCCCCCTCTCGCCGGACCGACAACGTTGCCAGGACCCGCGTGCCACTCTATAGCTCGGACCAGTACGTCACGTACCGCCGCCGTTCTCCCTCACTTGGCTCTCCCCCTCGCGTGCATGCATGTCCCTGTACCACGGCTTCTTCACCTCTTAACGATCGCGTGACTGGCCCTTCCGTTCGTCAGGACCTCCAACTGATCAACAGAGCTGTGCGTGCCGCGGCTACCGGTGGCGGAGGAGGTTCGCCGCACCCGCCAACAGCCAAAAGGGCCAAGACCTCGTCGTCGTCGTCCTCAAGCCGATCGCGACCCCCCCGATGATGATTAAAAAAAAATAAACTAGCAGCCCTAGAAACAAAAGATCGTAGCAGTAGCAGTAGTTGTAAGCCCCCCCCCCCCCCCCCCCAAAGATTGTGGTATGCCTGGTTCGGTGAAAACCCGGCGTTCTCCTTCCCGGTTTTGCGAGGTCAATGGTCAACGACTACGGCATGCACGGCTATGAGTATACACTCCCGTCTTGGGGGAACGAGCTCATGCTGGTCGTGAAATCTTTCTCTTCCTGCTGCTGCTGCTGGTTGTGCTGGCGAGCCGAACGACAGCAGCGCTGAGCCTGTTTAGGGCCTGCCGTAGCTTGCTAATACCCTTGCCTTTCGAAGGTTCTTTTCGCACACCAAGGGAGAGAGTACCAGCACCAAAAAGACTCTACCCTCCTTGCTGGTGCACCCTGCTATTCTGTTTGATGGAGCGCGAGCGAAAACGGGGGCGCTGGGTATTGTAGCTAGAAAGAGTCTTCGAAGGTTACGGTTTTCTGGCGGTGGGGTGGGTGGGCTCTCGTGTGTGCGTGCCTTTAGTTTTAGGCTAGTCCGAGCTGTGTGGTGGTCAGTTGAGTATGCTTGGTGCACTTTTTCTTGTTCGTGTCATCGTGATGGTAGATATTGTTCTGTTTCTCGCACGGCGGCACGCGGCACGTTTTTGTTTGCCGCTGCTTTTTGCCTTGAGAATTATACGCCTTCCATGTGTAATAGCGCTTCACGCTCGATGCGACGCCAGGCGACAGCTCTCGACGTCTCTTCGTTGGCTGGTGTGTCAGCCTTGGACGCAAAACTCTACACGGGCTGCTTCCTTCCTTTCCCTTGCGCAGCAGCGCTCTTCTTACGGCCGCATGCTACCGACGACACACACACGCTGTCGAGGCGTCCAGCCTTCGACGGGCCACGCTTCATGTAGCGGTCGACCGAACAAGTGCGGTGAAACCTCAACCTGTCGGTCTTGGCTTGGGACATTTTAGAACCAGTCGCGCCAGATCGCTTGCAAGGGAAGCCGATCGAAACGCGCTGAGCTTTGGGCGGAGCTCGCTTACTTTCGATTGGTAAATTTATGATGCAAGATAACACCCCACTACACAACCCTTGTCCGTCAGGTATATATATTTGTATCTGGTTTGCTGTCGGAGTCCTCTGCGAAGCTAAGCGATTTAGATTACGCTCGTGCTTATTTTCGCTGGCGTAGCACATGTATATATATATACATATGCGTCTTCTGGCGATCAAAACAAACAGAATCTGTGTTGACCTTGCGATTGAATCACCCTCAACACACATCGGCACCTCGTTTCCCCTGCCCTCGTGTTGGAATGGGAGCTGGTAAGTCTTTGATTTTGGCGCGCGCTTGTCTCGTTGACGCACGTTTCCGTACGTTGAAAACTTTCTCAATGAGGTACATGTGACACCAATGGCTAGTTGATTCCCCCGCTCCACTCTTGAGGTCAATGGTCTAACGACTACGGCATGCACGACTATGAGTACACCCCCCCCCCTCTTCACCGAACAATATTTTCACACGAATACTTTTTTTATTTTGCCCATCGGGTGCAAGTCCAGGGTGCTACAATTGCTACTTGGTTGCAGTCAGCGCTATTCCCGAAAAAAGAAATGAAGAAATCTTGTCCGAAATTCAACTCTTAGGTCAAGTGATTTGTGTCATCGAAATCTCTCAGATCAAGTGACTTGCGTCATCGAATTCAACTCTTCGATCTATCCGTTTTACTACTACTGCTGTTGAACGCCATCACCGTGTAGTACCGAGACGCTAAAAAATCAAAACAGAACGAACAGCAAACCAAACATGTAAAGAATAAGCAGTCGGGGGAGCAGCCGCGGACACACGGCAATCTAATAACTAAGTGAGGGTTCACGGCGAGAAATATTACTCTTTCTCTAAGGGTAAAAAGGTACAGTAGTCTAGTCTTGCGCCCCTTCCGAACTCGTTCTAGAGAAACGCGCGTATGCATCAATAGTCTAGGCTGCATGGCACCAACTCAATGTTCGCAGCACCTGGGTTGTTACTCCGTGGAGTAACATCCAAGTCCACGTCCTTCTCTGCTGCTAACCTGATCAACACATGTTGCTTGTGATACCACCCCCCTTCCCATCTCGCCCTTCAAGTAACGCCATCCAAGCCGGGGACTGTGTTGGCGGGGCCAACCCACAACCCAGCTACGGTGCCGAGGCAATTGATTCATGTGCTCACCATAGACAACAGATCATACATCGACACGCAATTTGCGAAGAAAGGCTACGCTCACAATGCGAAATATTTGAGAAATAGTCCGCGAACTACTTGTAGTAGAAGTACGACACAAACATTCGTCGAGCGTCATCGACGATCTGGCCTTCATGTGACCGGCGGAGGCGCACAGGGAACACCCGCGACCTCAGTACAAAACCATACTTCTATTTTACGTTTGGCGCTATCACGCATGTCCTCTATCAGTCACCTTTCACGTCACGACACATACTACGACGATCACGTGGCCCGTTCATCTTCATCTTGGGAGAAAACATCCCCAACACACAGCTCAAGAAAAACAGAAAAGAAAATCTGTCCCCATCAAAAGCACGCGCGGACTGAAAACGCTCGTCATCCGTTTGGTGGGTTGAACCGCCAACCAAAACCCCACATCATCACCACTACCGTGTCCAGCAAATGGTGTGTATATACAACGTGTTGATGGGGTGTTCTCGTCAACAGTCCATACAACGGGGTACAGACTATCTCGTTTTTTGGCCATGACTAACCCGCCTTCAGTACTGACACGATCACGACTCCATCCCTTCCACACATTTCGCAAACTGACCTCCTCCTCCTCCTCCTCCTCCTCCTCCTGCCGGCATAGGCAAAGGACAAGCCGGCCATCGCAGAGGGCTCTTCCACCACCCCGTCCGCGTAAAACACTCTGTGGTCAAGGCTGGCCATGTCGACGTATGGAGGCTCCAGCTGCAAGCAACTCTAGAGCTGCTGCTGCTTCTCTTCTTCTTCCTGTTTGGCGACTCCGCCCCCAACCAGGAGCAGCCCGAGAGTGGCCCGATGCTCGTGGGTCATCATCACGCGCCTCCAGGTCCGGACGATCCCGCACTCTTCCCCCGTGGTGAGGTTTCGGGCCGTGATCTCCTATTGGATTGTTGTAGCATTGAGGTTGTTTGGGACAAGCACGGGGGAGAGCGTCGTCGCGTTAGGGATAGGCTGACATCCCCAAACGAAGCAGTCAAAGGCGCTTTCGGATTGCAGTATTACGGTTATTTGGGACAATCAAGACTCATAGCGTTAGGGGTAGGCTTCCGTCCCCGACGAAACAGTCTAGCCTCGATTTTATTGTAGGATTGATTTTGTTTGGGACAAGCACGGGAAGATGGTCATAGCGTGAGGGGTAGGTGGCCACCCACAACGGTCCCAAACAAGGAGCCCTGAATCGACGGCAAGCCAGATGGGAAAAAAGCGCACCATTTTTCTCGCTCACAACCTACCTGAATGTGGCACAGACCCCCGTCCCCAACGTAGCGCCGCTCCAGGACCTCGGTGTTGTGTTGGCATTCGGGCGTGCTCCTATTCCGGATCAGGCAGACGTATCCCCCCGAGCTAGACCCGAGGTTGGTAACAGTCGTGGAGATGGACACTCTGCTGGGTGTGACGCTGGTCACCTTTTCCTCGCCGAGCGCAAACCTGTTATGCATGTGAACGCACGAACACGTATGAATGGATTTGGGAGAAGGGACAAATGGGGTGTGCTGTTTGAGTCTGTCCCTGCACGGCGGAGTCGTCACCGCCCGCCCCCGCGGGCCCTCGCCACCAGGAACATCGAAACGCTACCATAGTTCATTCGCGGACGAAGCAGTATGTACTGGCTGTCGCGCAAAACGTACGAATATAACAACACTGCCTACCTCACGCAACCAAACCGGGAGGGGCTGGAGGCAGAGTGGGAAGGGAGCCGTTTTGGTTTTGCGCGCATGTGCCTGAGATGGAAAGCACCTAGCTGGCCGAAACCGCGCGAGATGATCATGCCGCACGCTGAACACGCAGCAAGCAACCAGCTGTCCGCGTGTTGCCATCATCCGTTGTCGGAGGAAAAAATTAAAGGGACTTGTGCCACAGTCAGAGACACATCAAACACCCACCGCCACAGCAATATCGATCACACAGACAAAAAAACAAAAAGGCATTGTGCGCAGCATACTCTCGAAGGCACATAGTAAGACTCGTCTCCGTCGACACCGTATGAACACTACATACGCACGTCTCGGTGTAGTTGTTGCGGTAGGTTCGCTTGTGGATGGTGAGGGTGGTCTCATCCAGGTGAATCAGGTTCAGGGCGCCACCGTGCTTCCTCTCCGCCAAGACCTGATGACGATTCCATTCGATTTATTCACAGGTGAGTATTTTTTTTTGTGTGTGTTCCATTCAAAACCTAGTGCTTGTTGTCGGGTGAGGAGGGGTTGCGCTGCACAGCATTAGCTCCCATTTTTTTTACCATGCCAAACGTGTTTAGGAAAAATACATACCAATCTTTGCACAGACGGCAGCGGTGAAAGGTTAAGGTTTCTGTGGATTTTCTATGTTGGTGCTGTTGCTGTTTTCTAGATATATTTTCTCGAAACTACTCATGTGTTCTGTCATGCGTTCCCCGTCGCGCTTCCCGAACCCGTATCCTTCACAGATAAAGACACTGTCCACGATTTCCCGAAATTCGGGGGTGCGGTGACAGCTATGTCCAGCCTACTGCTGTGGTCGCTTTCTCTCTTCGGCACTCTCCGCTCAGGTGAACAGGGATTGCGTTATCGGCAAACATGGGTTTACGTCGGGTGTGATTATGAGATAAAAAACCAGCAGACAGCAGCATCAGTGAAGAATATATTGGCCTTCCACTGCATCCGAAAGCTAAGAAAATGCCATATGGGTTCCTACGTGCTTATTCTCAACGTGAAGCAACAGGAGGCCTTCGAGAAGTAGTGCAACGGTCTCCTAATTTCTTTCACGCCACAAAAAAAAAAGAAACACGTGTGCTCGTGTTATGAACTGATAGGGTTCAAGTCAAGCAAGGAGGAAATCTGGTGCCTGCCACCTTAGTCCTCCTCCTCCTCCTCCTCCTCCTGCTGTTTCTCTCTCACGTGTGTGTAGGCGTGCGTAGCCGGCATCCCGCTGACCTCGAGGTAGCGTTGCATGGTGTCCGACCTGCGCTTCACACGACAGACAATCAGAGAGGCTTTGTGAGATGATGGCCGAATCCATGCGGTCGATCCTTGGCAACTAGTTTTCGTTGTTGTTGTCGTTGTTGGATAATATTTTCAAAAAATACGTAAATGTGTTTCGGACCACGGGTAAACCACGTAAACCACGCGAGTGGTCAACCGAGCAAACCACACGTGGCTCTACCCCCCCCCGGCACGTGTGGTGGACCAAGCGAACTACTGTACGCGTGTGGTGTGAGTGACAACAGACTACTGTGAACTACTGTACACGTAGCGCACAACGGGTTCCACGGCTACTCCAAGGGTTCCACGGCTAGGGAAGCAGCACAGGAGACTCTAGTATACTGCCGTAGGCAGACAATGACGCTTGTACTACATGTAATCCTACTGCTGCTGTGTGTACACATGACACGACGCTTGTACCATACCGCATATGCTACTACTGCCGCGTGCACACATCATCAAACACACGTATAACCAACCGCGCATCATAGCCACACAGCACCCCAGCTACTGTTGTTGCTGATGCACACGTTTGTTCGTGAGCCTTCCAGGAAAATACTCTTCGCTCATCCCCGTTCTACATATACGCCCTCGCCGCTCAAGGCTGACGAGCTCTGACCAGGGATCTCACAAAAAGAAAAAACTTTGCTGCGCATGGCTTTCCATCTATTTTGGCGCGACAAGAGTTCTTCAGCATCATTTCCTCTCTTGTACGCGTACTATGTTTACCTAGGTGCGAAATTAATTTCTTTCACGCTGCAAACATACGAAGAATAACCTTTCCAAGTCCCGACTGCTGTAACGATAGTGTAGATAGCAAAATCCCGTAGCGTTTGATGCGATGGTCTCACAGTGCGCGGGTGCAGGGATCCGGTGATCTACACGTGCGTTGCGTTGTCACCTAGAGAGGTCCAGGACCCACGCGCCCGCCATTGTGCCCAAGTCCTCCTGTTGCCATTGCTCCATGGTGGTCACCAAGCAGCCCTCAGTCTACGCAGGCCTGAGTTGGTGAGTGGGGCGTTAACGGAGCAATGGATCCTTCGGAGTAAAATGGCCTGAAAGGCAAGAAAAAAAGCCTACATTGTAGCGTGTATCGGACAAGAACATCGCCCAACCACAAACTTTCTCTAAAACGAGAGTGGTTCAATCGGAAGCTGAGTCATTTGTCATCAAATATACACTATTTCCATACTTACTTTTTCTTACACGAGCGAACACACTATATCCATCATCATACACTACAAGGCGTTACTACACAACCCAAAGAGTATCCCCGAATGAGATGCTGCTGCTGTACATCCTCGCACCCCAAACCTTATGATGCAAGTGTTCTCTCTTCCAGTCATCGGGTGGGTGCCTTCTTCGGGTTTCTGCAGTACTTGTAGCCTTCAAGCGGGTGATGATTGCAAGTTGAACGTGAACGCCACCACCACTGTACACATGTCCTACATATGCATACATGTGTATAGGCGTGTCAGATGACCTGCCGGGGATTATGTGTCATGTGTCGCCTCAGATCAGAGCCAACGGGCCGCGCTGTCCCCCCCCGGTAACTCTACGTACTTTTCTTCAACCCGCCGTATGCATACATCTTTCGTCCTCCTCATGTACAGACCAAGAGCCCTAAGTGCAACGAGGGAGAAAGCGAGGAACCGACTGGGAAGGACAGCAACGAGAGCGTGTACGAACGAAGCGGGTCTAGTTTGGTCGTGCTAGGACTGGCCACAGTGGCACCGAAGCATGCGGACGGCATCGAACCGTGGCGCACGGACAAACATCTATCTCTTGTGTTGTCAATTATTCCGTTTTTTCCTGAACATGGGTGTTGGGTGTGTGATGACGTCACTGGTGTTGTTGTTTCTCACATTAGCGCTAAAAAAAAAAAGATTGGGAGCCCGTGGTCTCAAAACCCGGCATACACGACCCCACGAAGAAACAGAAAAAAATAGGGTACAAAAACCACTCGGAAGAGAAACAAAATGATAGAAAGAAAGACCAGCTACCGCACCAAACGAGAAAGAGCGTCGAGGAGACCGATCAAAATAAAATAAAAGGAGAACGGGGAACGCTTCCCACACCCGCCTACAACGCCGGAGGG